GGTCCAGCCAAGTTGACACACAGCTCCAACTATCACAGCATCTATGCCATTCTGGAAAGAGGCCTTCTCCGAAGATTCTGCAGGTTCTATATTTTTTTCAACATGTTTTTAAAAATCAACAATTTGAATGAAAAAGTGAGAAGACACAGATGAGATGTATGGCTAATATACCAGATAACACACTCAGATCTCAAAGTCTTAAAAGAGCCAGAATATTAAAACAAAACAAAGCAAAAAATAATAGATACATAGAGAAACTTCTGTAAAATTAAGTAGTTATATAAACCCAGGACATGTAAAGGCTGGATTAATAGCTCTTTCTGTGAAAAGATTTGAGAATTTTAAAACTAATTAGAAGGTTAATGTGAGCTAGTGCTCTAATCAGTGAAATGAGCTAATATAATCAATAAATTTCCAATTCTAATTCAATACTCTAAAAATAAAAATATTTTGTACTGTGCTTTGTGTTGACTGAAGGGACATAGTGTACTGTATTGGGGCCACTGTCCAAAAGTGACCTTGATGCTGGAGAGGACAGTTAGATATATGAAATATTCAAACACCTTATCATAGGAGGAATGATTGAAAGAACTGGGGTTGTTTAGACTGGAAAATGTAAAGACGGAGTGGACAGTGATATGTAATATCATCATTTCTCCTAAGGGTGCCTGACTTACTCTGAATAGGCTCTCAGAAGGGGATTAGGACCATCTCAGGAGAAGAGCACTTTAAGCAACAGCCTCAACTGAGCCTCTGAGAAATAGCACTTATGTGATTCCAGTCACTGAAATTGCTTAAGTGGAAGTGTGTGGGAAGGTTATTATTTTGATCTCCAGAGTTCCATCCATTTTCAAGTGTTAGTTGTTGATTCTAAGTGCCATTGAGTCAATTCTGATTCATAGTGATCCTGTAGGCCAGAGTAGGAGTGTCCCATATGGTTTCCTAGGTTTTAATTTTTCTGGGTACAGATCACCATGTCTCTTCTCCCAGGAGGGTCTAGTGAGTTTGAACCATTGACCTTTCAGTTAGCAGTCATGTGCTTAGCCTTTGTACTACCAGGGCTCTTTTTAAAGACTTTGTTGTTGTTTGTTGTTATGTGCCGCTGAGTCGGACCCGACTCATAGCCACCCCTCCTTGGGTTTCCAAGGCAGTATCACTACGGAAGTAGATCACCCCATCTTCCTTCCAAGGAGTGGCTGGTGGGTAGTGCTTATTTACTCTTCAGCTGCTCTTTACAAAGCACTGGATTAGGCATGGAAGCGACTTAAAAAAGTTCCTTTTTTTTTTTTGCAGTAAAACCCACTGCCATAGAGTTGATTTTGACTCATAGTGACCCCATGTGTTTCCAAGGCTATAATCTTTACAGAAGTAGATTGCCTCATCTTCCTCCAGCAGAGCAGCTGTTGAGTTTGAACCACCCACCTTCTGGGTAATAGCCAAATGCCTTACCCAGTGATAAATTATTGAGTTTTAATACAGTGAATTATATTTATTGACTTTTCAAGGTGGACTCAACAAAAATTTATAGGACATACTGGTATTAAAAATCCTTTAGTAAAAATAAAACATATCATAGCATTTATATAGTCTGTAAGACTCAACCAAAATTCTGTCATGTACAAAATTGGTACCATGATACCAAGTTGGCATCTGAAAATCAGAATATAAATGCTTCTTATCTTATGACAAGGAGGTGACTTGCTCATCTTTCAGTACCTTGGGAGCATGCTTTTGGCTGCATTGTAATTGATCCTATGGTCTGTTAGAGCACTGTGTATAGAGATTTCACTATATTTTCATTTTGTTTTTCTTTATGTGTTTTCTGTGATTTAATATTCAGCAGCTCACAAGCTGTTGAAAAACTTGGTTTTCAGACATTTAAGAAAATCTAATTTGAGCTTGGAACTTCTCGTTTTGGGGAGTTTATTGTCTAGGCGACAATGAAATTACTCTCATCCCACTTGAATAAATGTTCTGTTATTGTCAGCTCTTTCTACATTTCCCTCTCGGCTCTCTCTGGAATCATTTATGGTTACCTTTGTTCCTGGAAACATTGGGTCCCAGTTTTCTTTTGCTTTGAAGTAGGTTTTTGACTATGTTACTGCCAACATGGTTCATGTTTGTCAATCCAGATTATGCCAAACAGGTAGAGCAAAAGGCAGAGAGAGAGAGGATAAATCTGTTGGAATTTGTGATTCTGCTTCCCAGTACTTTCTACAGATTGAATCTCTGTTTTCTGTATCTCTTGATACTTCCTCTTTTTTTCAAAGCTGAGATGTAGGTGTGAACTTGAGGGGATAATTTATGCAGATTTTTTCATTTGTGTTATCCTTGATAATGTTACCATCCCTCAACTTGGTTAATCAAAAATCCAGTAGAGAGAGCATTTGGCCTATTTGAAAAGTGGACTGCTTTTGTAAACAAAGTATTTTAAAACAGTATAGTTTTTGCCTTTGTGTTTTCAAAATTCTCTTATGTTGAAAAATATAATGTGTTTGGGGAAGAACAGAGGGGCTGGTGAGAAACAAAGAGACATGTATTGGGTATATTTGAATGCTTTTATTCACTCTGCTCTGTAGTATTTTCCTTCTTTAGGCTGTTTCCTTAATAGTAAATAATTGAAATGACATAAAAATACAATAAGGAATATTTGAATTACCAACTACATTTCAGCTCAAAAGTGGAATCAAGATATTTTTCATGTTGATAATTAGGAAAAAAACTTTCATACATTTTTCTAAAATTTGATTGTGTGCTTAACTTTTTAAAGATATGAACAAGCCTTTTTGACAAGTGTCATTGGATTGAGACCTGAAAAATACTTCTGGACTGGACTTTCAGATATACAGACCAAAGGGACTTTTCAGTGGACCATTGAAGAAGAGGTTCAGTTTACCCACTGGAATTCAGATATGCCTGGTATGTGCTGTACTTTGCAGACTGAGAGCAGCATTCAACCTACAAGTCCATTGGGCAAGGCTGTGGTTCCTTCTTGTGCCTTTCCAAATAGACTGTGTAAACTAATTGCACTTTTAGTAATATTTTATATTTCACTCTCTTTCCCTCTATTTTTTTCTCCTTCCTTCTTTCCTTCTTCCTTTCTTTCTTCCCTCCCTCTCTTCCTTCCTTCCTTTATTTTTCTTTCTTATTTCCCAGTTTTTGTAGTATCCTAAGAAAAAAAGAAAGAAGAAAATTGCTAAATTAATTGGCACTGATATATTTGAAAAATATTTATGAAATCCTAGATGGTCACAAATGTTCCATTTGGAGCACTTACTTCTGAGAACTGAAACTACATTTTATTAAAGGAATATAAAACTTTGTAATGTAACTATGAATAGAAACAGTAATGTGCTTGAGTTGTGGACCAAAGGATAGTGCTTATGTGGAACTCATTCTTTCAATATCTTCCTTGAGCCAGTATGTTCAAGGAGCTCTGTTTGTGCAGCGGGTAATGCATTCAGTTCCTAACTAAAAGGTTGGTGGTCCAAACCCACCAGCTGCTCTGCTGGAGACAGATGCTTCCATAAAGGTTTACAGTCTTGGAAACTCTATGGGATAGTTCTACTCTGCCCTATAGGGTCACTATGAGTCAGAATTGACAATGAGTTTGGTTTGGTTTTGGTTTGCCAATATGTTCAATCCTGGTGGTGCAGTGGTTAAAGGTTTGGTGGTTTGAAACCTTAGCTGCTCTGCAGGAGAAAGATGTAGCAGTCTACACATGTAAAGATTACAGCCTTGGAAATCCTGTGGGATGGTTATACTTTGTCCTGTAGGATTACTATGAGTCAGAATGGATTAGACAGCAACAGTTTTTCTTTTCTTTTCTTTCCTTTTTTTTTTTTTTTTTAATATCTTAGCTTTTATTTAATGGCTATAAGAAATGGCAACATAACTCTAAGTATCTTTATTTGCAAGATGAAGAAACTGGAACTCAGAAAATTTGTGTCACCAGAGGAGCTCTGGTAGCACAGTGCCTAAGGCATTTGACTGCTCACCAGAAGGCTGGCGGTTCAAACCCACCAGCCATTCCTCAGAAGAAAGGTTGGGCAATCTACTTTTGTAGTGATACAGCCTCGGAAACCCATGGAGGGATCGCTATGAGTTGGATCTGACTCAGTGGCAGTGAGTTTTGTTTTTTGTTTAGAAAGCTCCTAGGTATGGATTTAGCCTCTAATCTATGTAACTCCCAACTCTGTGCTATTTGACTCCCAGGAGCTCTGGTAGCATAGTGCCTAAGGCACTTGACTGCTCACCAGAAGGCTGGCAGTTCAAACCCACCAGCCACTCCTTGGAAGGAAGGTTGGGCAATCCTACTTCCGTAGTGATACTGCCTTGGAAACCCAAGGAGGGGTCACTATGAGTCGGGGCCGACTCGACGGCAATCAACAACAACCACAAATTTTTATTTGTCTTTTCTAATAAGAGGTTATAAGTAATTTCTGAAAAAGAATCTGAACAATACTTTTCATTCTTTATACTCTGGTATTGTCAGTATATGACATGAATACTATGAAAAGAAAATACCCAGGAAATTCAACATTTGTATATGGGTAAAAATCTAGATAAAGAATACTCCATTATATGAACTGAGTACTTGGCCTAATAAATCCTGATCTTCAATTAAAAAAAAAAAAACACCCAAAACTCACTGCCAGCAAGTCGGATCCGACTCAGAGCAACCCCTCCTTGAGTTTCCAGCATGGTATCACTACAGAAATAGATTGCTCAACTTTCCTTCCGAGGAGTGGCTGGTGGGTTTCAACCGTCAGCCTTCTGGTTAGCAGTCAAATGCCTTAGGCACTACATCACCAGAGTGCCCTGATCTTCAAGAGTTCTTTTAATTTATATTCTCAGCTATCAATAAGGAAGCTAAATCAGTAATTAAGATAGTGTGATTCTTATTTTATTACTGAATTTTTTGAAAAAATAGTAAGATTTCAGTTTATATTTTCTTATAACTAGGTAGAATATTAAGAACGGAGTGAATACTTCATTTGTTCTTTCTTTTTAAAATGTTGGATGGAGTAATAATTCTTATCTTTTAAGCAAAACTCCTTGAGCTTTGCCAGTGTTGTTTCATCCAAAGTAGGATTCTGGCAGAGTCTTGCTGAACCACCAGCCTTCTGATTAGTGGTCTAATGCCTGAGGCATTATACCACCAGAGCTCCTTGATATGTCCTTAGGGAATGCAAATGAATCAGTCTGGAGCCACAGCTCAATTGCAACCATTCTTACTTTATGTCTTAAATTGAAGGGTGGTGGTTCCCTCTTAAGGAAAACTCTGAGTGCTCATGGTAGGAGGAATGAACATCAAATCAGCTGGCAGTCAGTGTGATGAAAGATGTTACAGCCTCCATCACTGACTCCAGGGTTATCAAGTTTTACCTCAGTATTGCTAATGGGACTATTAAAGAAATTAGACAAAGAAATCAGGGATCTCAGGTAATATTTTGGAAAAGATATATCTCCCTAGAACTTTGAGAATTACTTCTAAACTCTTAATGTGTTTTATTTTATTTATTTATTTATTTATATTGTGATTTGGGTGAAGATTTACAGAGCAAATTCACTTTCCATACAGCAGTTTACATATACCTTGTCTCATGACATTGACCACAGTTTACCACAATGCAACAGCT